TCTTCTTCTTCTTCTTGACATGTTCTCTCATATCTTTCCACCCACCCATCCAGTCTTCTCTTTCCCATCTCAGCAAAGAGCATATATATATATATATATATATATACTACCAGATTCCAGACAGCGGGAGTGCTAGTATAATCAATCTTACCCACTGCCGCTTTCCCAACAAAGGCGGCGGCGGCGGTTGAAGGAGAACAAAAATTCGGTTTCGCTCTTTTGAGGGAGGGATTTTGCCTTCCTCTCTCTCTCTCCCCCTCTCTCCCTCTCTTCTCTATTTCTTTCATCAACAAAATGGGTAACAGTTTCGGAAAGAACCAACCAAACCAACCAACCCTCCCCCTCCGCTTCAACTGAAGAAATTGTTCCACTAGCAAACAAATCATGACAAGCGAGTCTTGTCTCTCAGATTCACTCGCAAGGAAGGAAGCCCGCTCACGCTGGAAGGCATTCGGACCTTGCCCGTACCTACATATATCTATCACCCGCGTACATCACACATCCACGATCGCGGGAATTCATCATGTTACAGCTACTTACTTCTATTATGCATATTAATCCCTTGTAAGATCAAAAATTTCGCTCAATCGGACTTGAGCCTGGGTACGGGTTTACCTCGTTAAACTACGCTTACGCGACAACAACCAGTATAGAGATCCAATAGCTGCGAAGTCAAGCGCTACTGTTTATACATGAGATTATTGCAAGTCTTGGTTTCACGTAACGAATTTTCCACTAGACACGTCGATCAAAGATTCGAGAAACCGGTGGTTAGGTAAATGACATTCGCATTGGACCTCTATTCAATGTTGAAAGGCGTGATCACCTGGTAATCATAGCCTCTCTACCCGGACCTGTGCCGATAAACTTCACCTTAACCTATGCATGGTTAGTGAATATCCCCGAATGCTAACGTGCATACCGAAATTGAGTTTTCGATAGAAAGAGCTTACCCCAATAAACTCCTCAATAAACTCCACATACTCTCTCGCCGCCTTTGGAAGATCGTAAAACGACTTGGCGCCCGTGATCGACTTCTCCCACCCCTTCAACTCCACATATTTGGGCTGCACACGGCCCAGCACCTCAAGATCGGCTGGGAAAGATGCAAGTTCTTCGCCGGTCAATGGATCGACGTATGCGGTCGCGACTTTGATAGTTGGGAAAGTGTCTAAAATGTCGAGCTTGGTGACATTAAGAGCTGTGTAATGGTTGATGGCGGTGGAGTACTTAAAATCACTGACTTAGCAATCACTCCGACATAGGTACGAAATTGCGAGATCTTAGGGACCTCTGCGGGTAGAGATCATACCTTAACAACCACCAAGTCCAACCACCCACATCTCCTCCTACGGCCAGTCGTTACACCGAATTCACGTCCAATCTCTTGCAGCTTCGTCCCCGCTTCTTCTAGATCTTCAGTCGGGAAAGGGCCACCACCTACTCTGGTGGTATAGGCCTTGACTACGCCGTAAATGTTGGAGGTTTTGGCTGGGTTCAAGGCCAGACCAGTGAAAATACCTCCCAGACCGGTATTGGACTAGCAAGTGATTAGCAAAGCTTATCAAAAACGCAAATTTCAATATACTCCGACAACCGTGAGACGCTCACGCATTCGTTCATTCTGCATTCAAGGTAGCTTGACGAGTTTTACCCAAAGTCTCTCGGTTGAAGTGAATTATCCGGATGGTCCCATAGGACATCAAAAGCATAGACGTACCGAAGTGACATATGGGTATGTGCCGAAATCGAGATCCAGCATAAGAGCATTTGCGCCTTCAATCAGAATCGACTTGTTCCTCTTTTGCACATCGTCCATAAACGGCACTTGGTCGATAACATGCGTCGCCAGCTTTTCCCGGTATCCCTAAAGATCCATCAGCAATGTTCTCACCCGAAAGTAGGCAACACCTACGTCGAATCTCGAGATTTCCTCTTCGACATCGTATTTTAAAATGTCTCCATAGCGCTTTTGGTAGCCTCTGGCCAACTCGCGTAACCGCTTATCGAATAGCTCTTTGTTGAAGATCTCGGAGATGCGGATACCGCTGCGAGCGGCTTTCGTAGAATAGCATGGTCCGATGCTACGCACACATGATGTTGGTATGTGTCTCTTAATCGTTACTGGCAATCGCCGCAACATTGCTCACTTACCCTTTCCTCGTAGTACCGACCGCCTTCCCTCCCAATTCGACTTCCTCCAGGCCATCCACAATCTGGTGCAAGTCGAAGACAATCTGCGCCCGATCGCTGATAAATATTCTCGACCTTACGTTCTCTAATCCCTATTGTCGACGTCAGCAATGTCCTCTGTGTGTTGTGAAGCAACCAGAAACCTGCCTTTTTTTCGAGGTCGTCCAGCTCTTTGAAGAAAGCCGGGATATGGCAAACGGCACCCGAGCCGATCAGGTTATAGCATTTGGGGTTTATCAAACCGGACGGAAGAAGGTGGAAATCGTAGGTGATTCCGTTTGCGACGATTGTGTGTCCGGCGTTATTCCCTCCTTGCGCACGAGCACAGATCTCTACGGTCGGGCAGAGGATATCGACCAGCTTGCCTTTGCCCTAAATTTCGAATTAACAGGAATTCTGTATATCCCCCGGGCATAATGCATATACGCTCGGAGAAGGTGGGGGATCATTACCTCGTCCCCCCACTGCGCACCCAGGACGATTGTCGCCATGGTTGATTGTGGATCTGTTGACCGGCCGATATCAAATGTTTCGAAGTCCCCGGAGAGAAGATCGCACACGTGTATTCTATGAATATCACGAAGCTTTGTTGGTATTGCGTCTGGTGTTGCTTGTGAGGAGGAGGAGGAGGAGGAGGAGGAGGGAGGGGTAGATCCGTGCCCTTGAGCTGAGTGCAAGGCTCAAAGATGAGGAGTGGATTTGATTTGTTTTTTTCTGCCGTATTGTTGTGGCCCTGGGCAGAAACCCCCACTACGCGCACTGATCACCCTGGGAGCATACGGAGAATTTCACGGGCTTCCCGCCGCACCTAGAGGAATTAATCTCTCATCCACTCAACTTTTGTTCCCGTCCCATTGAGTCGAATTGACTGTCCGTAACTTATTTCAGGATCTCCTTCTCAATAACCGTCCACCTCTTTCGCCCTCTCCTACAGACCACGTCCTCGAGCCCTCAGAGCTATTCAGCAATATGCCCGACCCAAAGCCCACGAAAGCCACCGTCCTCATCTCAGGTGAAGGGTCAAACCTGCAAGCTCTGATTGATGCCACCACTACCACGATGCCCTACCTCCAGATCGTCCGAGTAATATCAAATAAGGCAAAGGCCAACGGCCTCAACCGCGCCTCTGCAGCCTCTATACCGACCACCTACCACAACCTCATCAGCGGCAAATACCACGCATCAGGTGAAAAGGATCAAGCCGTGAAAGCTGCCGCGCGCGAGAAGTACGACGCAGACCTCGCCGAGATCGTGCTCGCCGACTCCCCCGACATCGTCGTCTGCGCAGGCTGGATGCACATCGTCACGCCCAAATTCCTGGATCCTCTGGCTGCGAGGAGTGTCCCCGTCATCAACTTGCACCCCGCCTTACCGGGCAAGTATGACGGGATCCGGGCGATTGAGAGGGCGTACGATGATTTTCGCCAGGGGAAACTAGAGAACGATGAGACGGGCATCATGATTCATTATGTAATCCGTGAGGTGGATGGTGGGGACCCGATTGTGGTTCGCAAGATCAAATGCCAGATGCTGGAAACCCTTGACGAGTTGACGACGAGGATACACGGGCATGAGCACGAACTCATACTTGAGGGGACGGCTATGGCCATCAATGAGCTTTGGAAAAAGAGGGAGGCGAGATGAGGAAAAGGTGAAGAGCAAGTAGAGGAGGATGTGACAGCTTGACGGGGTCCCAGCTCCTTCGCTTAGCAGCTCCCTGTCAATCACGTTCACGCATTCAGCTCTTGAGCTTCTAGCTTCCTGTTTCTTCTCCTCCCTCGTGTTCTCAGGTCGGAATTTGTGAGGCTTCTCATCAAGGGACAAGACTGCATGAGATGTTGGCCCTCGAGGGTAATGTGTTCGGCTGAGCAATCCTAGTCATCTTGCCGAGAGAGACTAATCAGCCTAAGAAAGTTCACAAACTTCTCTGACGCCGGAGCACTAATACATGGGAGGCTACGATTCTTTACCTCTACGAGGTGCCTACGAATCTTCAGCTCTCTCCTGCAGCAGAGAGTCTGGAGAGCCGGAATAAAATCATCAACGCGCGGCGTCTATCCGAAGAGATTTTCCTTGACCGGCGGTTCCGAACCTCCCTCTATAACTTCGACCACTACGTCGACAACGACCTATTCCTCACGGGCATACCGATTGAAAACACCAAGAGGATTTGCGATAGTGAGAGAACGCGTGTAAAGTGGTGGGAAAGGCTCAGTTCGATCGATGGAAACACGGTATTGCGCTTTAGAAGAGCGCTCTGCAATCCAGCGATTCGATACCAAAACACAGAACGCGAGCTTCTACAGCTCCACGACGATAAGAAGGTTGTTTGTTGTTTGTACTAGTACGTACCGAGGCTGTCCCTAGGGCCACGCGTATAGCACAAGGATCGAGCGACCACTCGCTGCGTCATGTCGGTCTGAAATGATTTTAAGGCTACACATACAAGAGTGCTGCGATACTACGAGATGAGGGACTCGGGGACTACCTATTTAGAAAGTTGTTCCTTAAATAATATGGTTTTTCCTTTCTATCTGAGTATAGACTTTTGTATATTAGAATGTCTCCTCCGTATCCCATGAGAGGCCCCCAGGACGGCAGACTAGGCATTGCGTTCTACACACTCCGCCGACGCGAATCAATATCATTACCAGTCGATCACCCACTACATCCAAGAACGGATAAGTCCGGTGTTTTTTCTTCTTTTTCTTTTCTTTTTTTCTTTCTTTCTTTCTTCTTCTAGACTCCCAACTTCTACTCGCCTCTTTCCCTCAAAAAAGCCCATCCATCCATCCATCCATCTACCCACCAACCCACCAACCCACCATCACCCACCCAGCCACCCACCCACTGGCCAGCTTCAACCACGTAAATTCAAGCGAGCCCTACACTGACTGTACCAGGAAAGGGGACAAGGGCACCTACCTACCTACCTCTTACTACTACTACTACCTACCTACCTACCTCCCTCCCTCCCTGCCTCCCTCCCTCCCTACATGATCCACCCGGTATGAATCTAGCTAGCTAGGCTGGTGGTACGGTACCTAAGCCGGGTGCCGCAAACTCCTTTTTTGTCCTTGGGTCTCGTAGGTATCATGTATCCGAGGAAGCTAGCTAGCTGGCTGCCTGCCGCTTAGATATTTTGCAGTTTGCAGTTTGCAAGGTGCAACCTGTGCTCCGTTTGCCCGGTAGCCAATCGATACGTGTACAAAGTACAGGTCTGTTCCGCGCAGCGGTCACCCCGCGCAGGTGGAAAGGGTCAGGGCGTTAGCGAGGTTCGACGGCCAGCTTTACTACCCGCAAGTGAGTTCTCGTGCACGTCAGGCGTGAGCAGTCCGGATCCGAGCATGTTGTGCGGCGGGGTCAGCACCCTGCTCCACTTTCGCTTCGGTAACCCCCCCCTAGAGGCATCACTCACATGGTCAAACAAGTCACTTGGGTGGAGCAAATTTTGGTCATGTAAGAATCGCTTCGTTATTACATCAGATATACATGGCTGAAGGCCGACAACCCCATGATTCCTTCGCTAAACTTAAGGCCGATCATGTTTAGACGCCGTACGCCTATGATCCAAGGACTTTTGCTTACGATTCACACGCTTTCCATTCCGTTTGTATGAGACCCGTGGTCTCCCGCCAAGTCTGAACATGTCATGCTCGTCCAACTGTCTGACAACCGCAGCCGCGTCCGGCTTTGGCGTTTCCAGCTTTCGCTCTTTCTCACTAACATGGGTCGCCCAAAGTAACGTCATGAGAGTAGCCACACCCGGTGCGTTCCTATTCTCAAGACGATTCGCATCTGCGGTGGAGAGACAGTCGGGGAGCTGCTGTTCAGACGCTGACCGCAACATGGCCATCGTCGCATCCATGAGTGGACGCGCCAAATGGGGGTTGCAGGCTAGCAGTCTTCTCAGCAAGCGAATCCGAAGACTGAATCTCGGGCGCAGGCTGGTCGTCGTGGTTAAGGAACTCATCGAACTGGTATTCTTCAAAGGCGATATTGTTGTTGTGATCCAGATTACTAAGGTAATGATCGAACTGGTCGGTGGCAGGGATGACCCGGTTTTCAAGCATCTCAAGATCAGGCTGAGTGGGTGCAGGAAGGTCGAGATAGCTCTCGTACCCATGTTGATCATGAGTATCATCGACAAGATGCGTGAGATTGAAGCTGTTGATGTCGAACTCCAGGGCCGAGACTTCTCCGACTGACACGGCAGGTCGCACAACATCGCGGCAGGATGTTGTGTCAAGTCGGGGGAGTTGGCGTTGGAGGAAGAATCGACAGGGCTCATCTCCGGAGAGAGGGAGGCCGGGTTGACAGTCTGTACTATTGACGAATCCACAAGAGATTGGGGGCTGATGGGGAGTTGGTCCGCTTCGCTGGGACCGAAGAGGTTTTGCGAGAATGTAATGGATGGGCGGGGTGTTTGGCGAAGTTGTTCAGAGGCTCCAGGGGAAGATGCGGCGGATGATGAATGAAAGGCATCTATGTTACCGCTCATCTGTTGTATTTTGCGCTCGAGAGCGGCATTCCTCGCCTCGGCCTCTTGCAGGCGCTTCAGGAGATCAGCGTTGGTTTGCTCAACGACTTGCTTTTGAAGCTCAAGAGCCTCGACCTCCTGACGCTTGCGCTCCCTCGATGATTGGGCTGCCCGACGGTTGCGCAGGACTCGTTCGACTCGACGCTGTTCTTTCTCGTCTTCCGTCTTAGCGCGTTTCCTAGCGAGCAGATTAGCTTGTTGGTCTTAAATAGTGAAGTGGAGACCCGGAACGTACCTCGGTGGTAGGTTGGTCTTCGGCTCCGGGAGTTGTTGTCCCCACGACTTCCTCTTCTTGACTTGTTTCTTCTCGGGCGCCGGCGTTCCAGCCATGCTCCCGTTCATGGACCCTCCAAACATGCTCTCATCCTCGAATGACCGAGGGGTCATAACTTCGGATGGGTCCATGGTGTCGATTGAATGTTGGAAGAGCGACGGGTATGAGGTGCCCGGCGTCGAGACAAAGCTCTCCGTCGGCGACTCGAATTTGATAAGGGGAGAATCCACAGACATAGTGGCGAGGCGGTTTGTTGGCTTCCGGCGGGTAGATGTTGAGATGGTAGTTTATTTACTCAAGGTTGTATCGGGGAGAGGCCAACGTGATACTAGACATACGGGGTGGCGACACCCATTATTGTGGACACGGTTGCCTCTCGGTTCTCGGTGCTGGGTTAGGAGGATAGATACGAGGCAGTGCCAGGCGGGAGGCAACCGTCAGCCAGCCCAGCCAGCAGCGAGCGGGTCACGGGGACGGAAGAAAGAAGAAGCGAAGGCGACGTTGAAGGGAAGAATAGATTATGCAGTGATGTGCTATGCTGTGCTGTGCTGTGCTGTGCTGTTCTGTGTTGCCCTGTCCAGTTTGATAAACCAAAACCGAGGGGAGGACACTTGTCTTTATGCTCAGGAAACCGTGTCTGGAGCTGATGGTAAGGTTCGTCTCCACCTTCCCCCTTGCGGCTAGTGCGTCTCCCGATATCGATCAGAAATTCCGAATAGGCCGGTGGGACCCCAGCTGGACCAGTGACACCAGCCCCCGAGCCCCCGAGCCCCCACAGCCCTCGAGTCCCGTCTCATGCCCCTTACTCTACGACAACCTTAGAAGTTTAAAAAAAAAAAGGGGGAAGGCGGAAGGCCGAGGCCATCACGAACAAAACGCTCGACCGCATGCGAGAAAGTCTCGTCTGTCGAATCCAAAGGAAACCTGAATAACGTTTCACAGCTGTCGCTCAGGAAAGTCTATCGCCCACTCTCTCTCCGTGCCTTCGTATTCATCACGAGAAAGTCCGGAGAGATGTCAAGATGCTCAAGATACAGCCACGGAAGTACCTAGGCAGGTACGAAGTACTTCCCTACCCAAGCACCAGCTGCTGTACGGTATCAGTATCAGTATCAGAATCAGATTCGACCCGACCCCAAGTCCGGACGACGTTGCATCTATCCTCACGGACAATTTCCTCCGCCATCTCCTTGCATCCCCTTTTTGTTGAAAAACCATTCTCCGTACGGGAAAACCCAACCTCCTGATCTCCGTCCCGCCAACGCTGGGCTTCCAGAACATCCCTAGTCAGGGGGTCGTTCACATACGGAGAGAATTTTACAACTATACTTTCCGCCTTGCATCCACCAAGACCTCCCTGCAGAGCCTTTTTCTCAGCAAGGAGTACCATCTCTCAGTTCTGGCTCGAAATGGAATCGAGAATGTACGTAGTAGTAGTACCGACGACCAGACCATCGGCTGCAGCGTCACGACATCGCCCTGTACGGTAGCCCCAATAATAGTATCCATCACCAGCCCCCCCTCCCCCCCTATCAACTTCTCTCTCCTGAGTACACTTTGAAGTACGTACTACGTAGGTAGTAGTACGCGTAGTGGTTGTGTACTACTAAATTCGGAGTACATACAGCTAAAAGCATCGGGCCGACCGCATCGCCGGAATTTGGCAAGGAGGACCGGACCAGCGGGCCGCAGAAGGTTTTCCCGGCCGGATATCATCCATACTGTACCTTTCGGTCCTTCACCCGAATACACAGTAGGTACTACCGGTACGTACTACGTACTACTATGTTCTGCACGCAAGGAAAAAGGCCCCAATTTCTCTCGTGGAATGTGTGAAGGGGCACCAGAATCATCATTGCCCGGATATCTTTCGGGCCTGGACCTCAGTCCTCAGCCCCGGGAATTTGGTGTTACGGAGCCAGGAGCTCTCACGATCCGAATGTACAGGTACTACGTACGTAGTACGACAAGTACGTAGTGGTAGGTTCGTGAGGCTAGGTCGGATCAGATCAGCCGAAACGACGTCCGTTCGACAAGAGATAAGCGATACCCCCTTTCTTTTACGTACGAGCGACTTCGGACTCAACTCCGTAAAGTCTTCGCTGGTTTCCCCTTCGTAATTGATACAAGGGCCATGACCTTTTCCGTGTTTCACAACTTCTAGTGAATTTCTAAATCATATGATGAATACGTGATCCCATATCTATTTTTATTTTTGGGTTTCATTTCCATTCTACAGACCTCCGGATTTCGTGGTACTTGTACGATCGACTGTCGATAGCATCAACTCTTCATCATGACTGTGCTCCTCCTGTCACAGCAAAAATGCTTGGAGCTCCTCTCGTGCAAGCACACTGGCTGCACGGCTGTTTCGCTCTGGTAGTCTGAGCGCGAGGCCCCTCCACCCTCCAGAGTTCCATACCACACAACCAGAAAAATAGTGTTTTGCATCAGATCCTCCTGCTCTCCGCTGACAATTAGCCATAATTATCGTAATGCGTCTGTAGCCCTCGTTCTCAGGCAGAGAGTCCCATACCGGTACATAGGAAGAAGCAAATACGGTACCGGTAGATGGCTGGCGTCCTTGGACCCTGGGTCCGCCTGGAAGGCATATCCATCTCCCAGCTGCCCGCGGGAGGCAAAGGCATCCCACTCGGCACCGCGGACCCCACACCAACTTCACCGCAAGAGGCTCGGCCCAGTGCACCTCCCCCTCTATCCCTACAGTCTTTCGTCCAGCAGGTCCTCTCCGAATCCCTGCCCTTCATTGACAATGTCGCGCCGAAATACAGCACCAGCACCAGCACCGGCACCAGCACCGGCACCGAAAACCCCTCCTCGCTATGGAGGCCCAAGGGCGCCCCGAGAACTTACGACGCTAGCGCCGCGCCTGTGCACGTCTACGAGCGCGTCGTGTCGCGCAGGGAACTCGACGACGTAGAGGGCATTTCAAAGCTGACGACTGATCGGAAGGACGAGACGTGGTTCTGCCGGCGCAGCTGCCACCGCGACGCCGCGGAGCCAGGGACTGCGAGCTGGGCTGAGTTCGTGCACGCGTTCAAGGAGTACCACGCTGAGAGCGAGCAAGCTTTCACGCCTACTATCATTGGGCACCGGCGTGCTCTGAGCTGGGATTTTAATGGGGTAGATGTTGAGGCCGCGGGCGAAAGGTGGACAGATGTGACGGTGGTGGTGGAAGAGATGACGCACAGGATCGATCCGAAGCCGTTAAAGAACCGGACGTTTCCCGTGCTGCAGCTTTGTGCGAGTTTAGCTGGGACGCGGGAGTTTGTGGTCGCCTCAATACCGATCCACGATTTCCATAAGAGCCCGTATGCGGAGTACGCGAGGGATAGCAGTCTGGTGGTAGCGAGGTATGCAGCAGTTGAGAGGATCAGGGTACTGCCTGGGGAGCAGGGGGAGGAGATTGAGTGGATTATGGGCACGGCAAGTGATGCTGGGGGTGTGCTGCCGCAGTGGTTGCAGAACCTGGCTGTACCTGGAGCCGTGGCAAAGGATGTGGACATGTTTTTGAGGTGGATCCAGAGTCAGAGGAAGTGAGGAAAAGAGGCTGCTGGTAAGTGCCGCGTTGAGTGATGGCACCGCACATCCTGCGGATTGAAGCAAAAGGAAATGGTATCTGTGAAAGGCTGGAATTCGCTCTTGCTTTGGTGCACAGGACAAAGCTTAGAAAGGGTGCATAGCTGTACGACAGAAACTACGTTGTAGAAAGATTTGATCGTCCCTCAAAGGCCCCTTTTTCTACCAGTATTGCTTTCATTGAAGTCTGGACGTTGGCCGTCTAGAGGTGTTCCGCCGGGTTCCTGCTTATATCACAAGCGAGGCCGGGGGTGTTTCCAGGATTCTGTCGATGCCCTAAAGATCTGCAATCTTGTATGGCTCAAAGATCGTTGCTGGTTTGGCTTTGAAGATTAGTATTTGAAATTGTTATTAAGGTAGCCTAAGAAGATGTATGGAGTAAGTTGATAATATCATTGCCTTAACTCAGACTCGTGATCGACTCAGCTAGTTTGAATTCTGCCCGTCTCTGATAACAAGATGAAGGCGGTGACTGAACCTTCTGGGCTCAAGAGCCAGATTAGTACTTGACGGCGACACGGACCCATTGCACTTGGTTGAGTGGTCATGATACTACCGGTACGAGAACCACAGTGCTAAGATCCAGGCTTGTTGCTCCTGTCCATCATGTCAAAAATGGAGCCGCCGTTCTTACTACTGTTTTTTGTGCTCTGCGCAATCCTCGGCGTTACTGCATACACTCCTTTATCCGACGATACGCTCAAGAATCTGCCCGCCGGTGGCGCAGACTTTGATATCAAGACGGGTTCAATACTAGCCCCAATACTGGTTCCCCGAGTCCCAGGAACGCCAGGAAACCTCGCTGTGCAGCAGCATTTGGTGAACTGGTTCAAGACGAACCTGCCGAAATGGACCATCGACTTCCAGAACTCGACGTCGACGACGCCGGCTACAGGCACGAAGCAGGTCCCGTTCACGAATATCATTCTTACGCGCGATCCGCCGTGGACGAAAGTGGGAGATGTGGGGAGGCTGGCGCTGGTCGCGCATTTCGATTCGAAATTGGCTCCGACGGGCTTTATTGGGGCAACGGATAGTGCTGCTCCTTGTGCAATGATCATGCATGCTGCGCGTAGTGTGGACGAGGCGTTGACGAAGAAGTGGGATGCTATGCAGGCGGAGGGTATAAGTGAAAATAAAGAAGAAAAGGGTCTGCAGATTATCCTTCTGGACGGAGAGGAGGCTTTCGTTTCCTGGACGAGCACCGATTCTCTGTATGGGTCTAGGTATGTATGTTTGTTCCATGTTTTGATCTCGACTGACTGGTTAGATCTCTGGCTGCAGAATGGGAAGCTACGCCGCATGCTGCGATGTCTACATATCACTCCGCGTTGAGTTCCATTGCGCTTTTCCTCCTCCTCGACCTGCTGGGAGCATCGGATCCACGTGTGCCTTCATACTTTAAAACCACACATTGGGCATACCAAAATCTGGCCAAGATTGAGTCACGTCTTCGTGGCCTGAGCGTTCAGAAATCAAGCGCAAAGAACCCATTCCTCCCAGATGCTACGAAGAAACCTGACCAGTTCAGACAAGCATACGGCGTGGAAGATGACCACATTCCATTTATGGCCCGTGGCGTTGAGGTGCTCCACATCATACCCGCCCCGTTCCCAAAAGTGTGGCACACAATGGACGACGATGGAGAGCATCTCGACATGGACACGGTGGAAGATTGGACGCGGATGGTGACGGCTTTTGTCGGAGAGTGGATGGATTTGGAGGGATACTTTCCTGCACCGACAGGGCAGGCACAGAAGGTTAAAGAGAAGCGGAAGACTGAGCTGTGAGTTGGCAGCCTTGGATATGTGGTCTCTTGCTTACGGTTTTTAGCAATGAGACCTAGTGGTTACGATGTAATGAATATAGGAATTTTGTGCATATAAAAAATCCGCACCTATGAACCTTTTGTCCTTCAACCACAAGTAAGCGAAGTACCCCTAATAAAAGACCCTCCACAGCTCCGTACCTCCCTTCGTCCGGTACATATTCTCGATCCGCTTGTGACAACGAAGTCTAAGTAAGACAGACGTGCCAGCTTTTCCAAGACATCATTTATCTTTATCCTCTTCAGGCTCCGTCTTCGGCCAGCTCGAGCCCTCGCTAGCCGGAACCTTCTCGGAACGACTTCGATGCCCGTATTTGGGTGCTGAGAAGCGCGATGTGGCACATACACAGATCCATAGGACCAGTGTTCTACAGGCACCGCAGCGACAGGGTAATCGGAGGGTTTCATTCTCGAATTATTGATCGTCACAGAACATCATACTCGCTGAAGTTGACAATTTGCGAAGGAAAAAGACGCCTTCAAAACGATTGCTGGTCAAACAGGCTTACATATCTCGAGAAGGTAGTTCAGGAGTAAAGACCACCGTCGGAATATCTTACTGTGTCACTCAAAGCTGTGCAGGGGCGCTCTCAGGCATAGCTCACCACGACCTACTGCCTCGCGATCCGAATAGGTAACGAGAACTTTTCATTGGACTCTCCGCACACAAGATCCTAAGATGACCGGGCAGGTAACCGCCGCAGCTACCAGCCAACACTCAATCTGGTCAACTATCCGTCCAGTGAGCGTAGGGCCCATCTCAGTATGGCCGCATGTCAATGTCAATCAAGCCCTCGTCGGGTGCGTGGACAGAACCCCGCTACCCTCGTACCCCCCTCTCATTCTGTGCCTTTCCTCCCAACAGGTCGGCCGACGGGGCGAGGAAGTGGGCTAGATCGTCCCAGGCACCACGCAATTGTACTTCTTGATGCGCTTTTCTACGGTAATGCCTGGTAATGCCTGAAATTCTACCCGTTCTCAGGTCGTCGAGCAGCATTGACCCAAGTAGTCACTTGGCCGTGCGCTCCGATATATCGCAATATTTCGGGCTGCAGCTCAACAAGGCCACGAATTGGCAGCAAGTGTCAATCCCATGCACGAAGGAGCCAGTGCCGAGACGACACCCATGGCTGTGCTTAACGCCAAAAGAATCGCATGCGTTTTTTGTATGTCATCCGAGCATGTCCCGCCATTTCAGGCTGGCTGACAGCTCTTTGTTCGAGCAAAGTGAAACCCAGCTACAAGCTGCTGGATATATTCATCGTCTTTCTATCTTCCTTCACTCCTCCTCAGCTTCGTTGGCTACTATGTCTTCAACAAACTCGGTTAAACAGGCCGCCGAGGCGACACGAAACAAAACCTCTGAGGCTATCGATGCTACGAAACGTTTTGCAGATATTGTCAAAGAAGACCACAGTTCTGCAAAAAATACCTTCCTCCACACGCCCTTTGTGAGAGGAGCTCTGCCCTTTATCAATGGAGGCCTAGCGGGAATGGTAGCAACAACGGTCATTCAGCCCATCGACATGGTCAAGGTTCGACTTCAGCTAGCCGGCGAGGGCGCCAAAAGCGGTCCTAAAGCCAGCCCGCTGTCCGTAACAAAGGAGATCATTGCTGCCGGAAAAGTAATGGACCTATACACGGGGCTCTCGGCCGGCCTCCTCCGCCAGGCAGTTTACACTACTGCACGCCTGGGCTTCTTTGACACTTTCATGAAGACGCTCACTGCGAGAGCCAAGGAGAAGGGAAACAGCATTGGCTTCGCCGAGCGCGCAAGTGCCGGCATCACAGCCGGTGGTCTTGCAGCTATGATTGGGAACCCAGCCGATCTGGCCCTCATCCGCATGCAATCCGATGGCCTCAAGCCTCTCGTGGAGAGGAAGAAGTACAAGTCCGTCATTGACGCCCTCAGCAGCATTTCCAAGTCAGAAGGCGCGGGTGCTTTGTGGGCTGGCGCAGCACCTACGGTTGTGCGAGCTATGGCTTTGAACTTTGGCCAGTTGGCATTCTTCTCGGAAGCGAAGCAGAGGCTCAAGGATACAAGTCTAAGTCCAAGAGCGCAGACGCTGACGGCGAGTGCGGTTGCCGGCTTCTTTGCAAGTTTCTTCAGTTTGCCATTTGACTTTGTGAAGACGAGGTTGCAGAAGCAGAATCGGGCGCCGGATGGCAGTCTGCCGTACAAAGGGATGGTACACTGTTTTTCCAAGGTAGCGAAGGATGAGGGGATCCTGAGATTCTACCGGGGATTCAGTACTTACTATGTGAGGGTTGCGCCGCATGCGTAGGTTTTCCTGCAGTGCTTTCTGGCTGAAAAATTACTGATTGAAGACAGGATGGTGACGTTGATCGTCGCCGATTATTTGGGCTTTATAACGAAGTGAGGAGGTGCATTGTAGGATATGAGCTTGGGAACAGCTTATCGGGATAGACTCTACAACCTGGGTACTACATGCATCTCAGGTGTTTTGGAAAAGAGTTTTCCCACGTTTTACTTTCAGCCAAGTTCCCACTCTTCTGTCGAGTTCTTTCACCTCAAACGTGCTCTTCACATGCATCGCCATCGCCTCACTTCTGGTACCTACCTACTGTGCATCCACCGCATTTCATTGCAAACGACTCACCCCCAACCCAGCTATCTCCCCGAAGCTTATGCCGCGCATCTTCCGTCATGCTGCACCACTCGAAAGTCAACCTCTTCTCGTTTCAACCCCCTTCACACCCAATGAGCATCCTCATCGCCGATCCCCCGCGCATCCTGCGGATCCTCCTTATCGTTATCAGCGGGCGCTGAGACCAATAAAACGTGTGCGGACGACACGCCCAGAAGGCCATCTGAAGATATAAAGAATTTAAAGGTCCAAGTCGGGGTGGTGCCAGCATCTCTTATTTCCAGCGCTTCAAAGAACTTCACATTCACAGAAGCAGACGATTGTCGGAAATATTGGATCTTGTGAGACGTTTTTATGTAATTCATTGTTGGCCTTCGTTCGTCGAGGCCCCCGCCAGAAGAAAGCTGGAAAAGACAATCAATCATGCGACACCACAGTGTTTTGATGGTGGCCGAGAGGATCAATTCGGTGCCTGGGTTCAGGACGAGTGCTAGTCAGTAGCCGGTCTTCTGTGTCTTCTTCCGCTTGAACTCGTTGTTCTGCTCTTTTTTTCCCCCTCCACGAGCAACAACCCGTCTCGATTCTTGCTGTGGTGTTTGTTGAGACCTCTTGTGCAACTTGAGCTCTCTACGGAGTATTTCTCGCCTGCTTTTATCTGAGGCCGGGGTTGCGATAGCAAGCTTTGATTGAACCTAAAACACCGCCGCCAACAGGAAAATTGAATGATCGTCAGCTAATTAATTGTGCACCCATCAATCAGCCTTCTTCTCGTTCCTGCGCAGCAACCTCGTCCTCCCCCCCTCAGACCTCAACTCCACAACCTCAACCCCCCTTCTCGACGCCTCTTCGTCACACCTGCTGCCTCCTCTACCCCCCAGCTCCCTCGCGACCATGTCCCTGATCGACTCTCCCACTGAAACCCCAAACCCAACAGCCTCGAGCCTACTAGATGACATCCCGCCCCTCACCACGCAAATCCTTCAAGACGAAGACGACCAAATTGCCGCGCTCAAATTAGTCGCGGACAGCATAGCGCAGCAACGTCAATTCGCCGCCAAGGCCGTCATCCTGCACCCTCTCACCATCGTAGCGTGGATTGGCTTGCTCGCCATCCTCGCTCAATTCCTGCTCAAGACGAGCAAGGATATCGGCTTACTCTTCACCACCAGCGCCGGCGCCACGATGGCGTGTCTGGTCGGCGTCCGGGCCTTGACGAGTGGGTACCTCGCGCTGGCGGAGGGCCTCACGTGGGACTTTGTGCGGAATGACGAGGGCGAGGAAGATCTTATCCTGGGAAGTCGGTTCGGGGACGAGCTGATCGGGGCTCTGGTGCTGCGGCTGGAGAAGGGTGGCGGGGGGGGCAAGAAGAAGAGCGGGAAGAAGGGGAAAGGGGGCAACGGGGTGGTGAGGGCGTGGACGGTCAGGAACCGCTATCGAGGGAAGGGTGTTGGGACTGAGCTGCTGGAGGAGGCCGTGAGGGTTACGAGGGACAAGTTGGGGCGGGATGCGGGGGTCGGGTTTGCGGCTGAGCATGCGAATTCGAAGATGGTGTTGCCGGATCTCTTCAACCTGGGCTTTCGGAAGAGGGAGACTCAGGCTGGGAGGATGCTGGAGGGGGTTGTGGCCGGGATGGAGAAGAGGAAGAGGTAGAGGCGATCTATGCGGCTGAGCATGCGAATTCGAAGATGGCGTTGCCGGATCTCTACAACCTGGGGTTTCGTAAGAGGGGGACTCAAGCTGGGAGGGTGCTGGAGGAGGGTATGGCCGGGAGGGAGAAGAGGAAGAGGCAGAGGGGTCTATGGGGGGCTGTTGGATAGCGGATAGGAGTGAAGTGAGTATATGCAGGTACCATCAAGTCATGTTTGGGTTTTGAAGCGCGGTAAAGATAGAACATTATGATTGATTGATTGACGTATGATGATAGATGATGCATGAGAATTAGCGTCAAGAAGAATGCTACTACAGGTAGTATCTAAAACTTGCTGCCTTCACAATATCTCAGCTATCGAGACTATTCGAAGAGAAGAATAACAGACACCGGGTAACAGCTGATGGACAAAGCAAAGGTCATTCAAGCTAACGCCAAGATCAGGGTTCGTCTAGGGTAAGGTCTTTTAAAATGATGATCACTGAAATTATAAGAAGATTTAGATTACAGGTTCTAATATAGTAGTAACAATTACGCCGGTACCGTGGTATAATGACTGTAATCCAGAAACGATCCCTCCGGCCTGGGCCGTCTCGCTACGTAATCCGTAGGTCAATCCCGCCCTGGCCTGGCGCCAATAAGAGCGTTGGACGTGCGGGGGAGCTTATTATAAGGTACATGAAGGATGTCGAAGGACCGAGGAGGGTGACAAAAACGTGACATCCACCGTCATCCTGGAGCTAAAAATAGACGGGCCACCATTCAACGTTCTCGGACCGCCCCTAATTCATGCATGCTGAGACTGCTGTCGTTACCGATGGAGAGCTGCGACGGGAACTGCAGACGCGCGGAGATGGTAACTTTAGGTTGTGGTGGTGGCTGGTGATGGCTGGCGGCGGCTGAGCGACGCATTGAAGTACTACTGTATGGCCGATGTTGATGTTGATACAGTATTGATATTGATGTTGATGTTGATATTGATGTTTGATATTAATGTTGATGTTGTCGTCATGTCTCCACATCCAAAGTGACGCACGCTATGCCAAGCAAGCTCTTTCCAAGAAATGCTCAAGAGGTCTTGAGAGGGAAAAGACATCTTGGTTGGATATTGGGAACACTTGGATCCTGGGTTTCAGGGGTTCTGGTGGAGCGCAGAGCAAAGCAGTGCTCCACTCACATCCCCCACTGGATCCACCCAGACCCGCTCGGTCAAGCCCAAGCCCTAAGGCCGAGCCCGGCCCACCTTTCCCGCATTCCTCCGTTCACTCTCCCATGTCAACCAGCCTTCATTTCCTCTTCTCTCTTTCACTCTTCCCTCTTCACACATCACCCTCTTCACGGCTCTTTGGTTCAACCTTTCAACCTTTCAATCTGTCGTTAACTCGCCCTCATCCTTTTTATTGATTGTACGATAATCTCACCCACCCGATCTTCTCGAAATCGGTCTAGTCAGTCTCTCACTCTTTTGACGACCGGCACCTCCATCCATCCATCACTCGTTCCGTACGATCCAATCTCGCCCGTTTCTTCCAAGTCTTCCAACTCTAATCCATACGTTCAATTAAATCACTGTCAATATCACATCACATCACATCTCATCTCGTCACCTACACCATGAAGACTTCCTCCATCGCCGCAGCTTTGGCTGCTGCTACTATCGTGAATGCTACTCCGAGAGACCTGGTTGCACGCGCGTCCACCCTTCCCGCAATCACCGTCAAGGGAAACGGTACGACTTGCCCAGAACAATACAGATTGAACCCAGCTAACACCATCCAGCGTTCTTCTCCGGAGACAGCAGATTCTACATTCGTGGTGTGGACTATCAACCTGGTGGATCCTCTGACCTCGTCGACCCTATCGCTGATGTTGCAACCTGCAAGCGTGATATCGCTTATTTCACCAAGCTGGGCATTAACACCGTCCGTATCTACACCGTCGACAATACGGCAAAGCATGACGAGTGCATGTCCTTGTTGGCTGCTGCTGGTATCTACCTGGTCCTCGATGTCAACACCCCCCTCTACTCCCTCAACAGAGCCGACCCCCACCCATCTTACAACGCTGTCTACCTCCAGAATGTCTTCGCGACGATCGATGCATTTGCGGGCTACACCAACACCTTGGCATTCTTCTCTGGTAACGAGGTTATCAACGATGATACCACTACCTCCGCTGCACCATACGTCAAGGCCGTCACTCGTGATATGAGAAACTACATCAAGAGCATGGGCTACCGCCAAATTCCTGTTGGATACTCTGCTGCTGATGTCGATTCCAACCGGAAGGAAATGGCCGACTATATGAACTGTGGAAGCACCGAGGAACGCAGTGATTTCTTCGCCTTCAACGACTACTCGTGGTGTGACCCATCGTCTTTCACCACCTCCGGCTGGGATCAGAAGGTCAAGAACTTCACTGGATACGGTCTCCCTATCTTGTAGGCAGCTCCTTCCTAATTTATAAATTCAAGCTAACCTGTCTCAGCCTTTCCGAGTATGGTTGCAACACCAACACCCGTGACTGGGGGGAGGTCAAGTCACTTTACAGCACCGATATGACTGCCGTCTATTCTGGTGGTCTCGTCTACGAGTATTCCCAAGAGGAGAGCAAATACGGTCTCGTTACCCTCTCCGGAAACACTGTCACTCCCCTCGATGACTTCACCAACCTTGTCACCGCATTTAAGGAAACTGCAAACCCATCTGGTGATGGAGGATACAACTCCACTGGAGGCGCTTCCGGATGCCCTGTCCAGTCTGCAAACTGGAACGTCACAAGTAACGATTTGCCTTCGATCCCCAGTGCTGCCGCAGCTTTCATGAAAAAGGGAGCCGGAGATGGTGCTGGCCTGACCGGGAAGGGATCTCAGAACGCCGGTGGAACCTCTACCGGAACTACCAGTTCGGGATCCGGCTCTTCCGGCACCACCGGCTCTGCATCTCCGACATCTTCCAAGGGTGCCGGTGCTTCGCTCCAACCTCCCTTCAGCGCCGCTCCTCTGGTCGTCAGTGCCATAACCGTGGCTTTTGCTTTCTTGGGTGCCGGCCTCTTATAAGTAGCCAATGCCTAGAGGATGTGTACATAGGCGGTGCCTTGGTTTAATGCAATTGTAACAGTTAGAATCAGGCTGGGTCTTGGATAGAAGTTAGGGTCCAGATGCACACACAATGCAGATGAGACCCGACACGGCTGCAGATGACCGGCAAGGCATGCAGATTTGGGTATTCTCCTCGGTGTTCTCCGAATGATTGGGACGGCAGTCCGATAATGTTCTGCGATTCTCTTTTGTCTGTTTAGCTTCTTTCCTGGGCTTTATTTGGATTTGGGGCGCTTTGAAAATAGCTCAGTGCGGTGAGGCAGCATAGTATGTTACGACTTTAGGAATGATACATTTGGAATATTGATTCAATAATCTCCTGTCCCTCTGGTGATTGTGGTTCTCTCTACATACCTACATAACGCCAAGTGGCCGTGCATTTCATATTTATGGGTCTGCGATGTGCGCTCAACCACCAGCGCTGACAAGCCATCTTCAAGCCTTCATATCACAGTAGCTTTGTGTGGACTATAGCGAGATCCTTAACTCCTCCGTGACGGTCGAGACACGCAGGAAACAAGCTGCTGTCCAAAAAAAGCAGCCACTGTTGGAAATTGGCCCTCAGGACCCAGATCAAGCTGTAACGACTGACAAGTGCTGCCGTCTCAGACTCTCGAAATTGAATGATCAAAAGGAGAGTTGCTCCTGTTGTGAAGTATCGTTCTTGGGTACTGATTGATCTTACTTTGGATGTTTTCTGAGATTGGCATTACTTTTCTTTGACTCTGTGCGGAGAGCATTCGATGAAAGTGCCTCCTCTACCTACCTGTTCACGGAGGAGCCCTCGCTAAAGCAGTACCAAAAGTATATTTATCTATCCCAGCTCATGATTACGTTCTCCATCTGGTTCTGCGTTGGCCATTTGACATGCAGGGAAGGATGGACGGGGTGGTGGTGGTGGTGGTTGCCAGGAAGAACCCGACAGCTTTGAAGAAAAGGGCTCAGGCTAGTTGTCATATCGACCTCTATCACGAAGAGTGGCTGCTGACGTGGTGGGAGTTGGAGAGTTTGCGCTGCTTGCCACCGCCGCGACAGGGAGACGTTGGGATGCTACAGAAATTGGGATGGGTGGTTGGAATACTTTATGACGAAGCACACCTCAGGCCGTCATTTGCATCTGTCGGCTTGAGTCGGTCATTCCCGGGTGGAGGGGCACTCGGCTCAAGGTGAGGGGTAGATTAGGAGAGGGAGGTGGGGTGCAAGTTCGATGCATAGAAAAAAATTGAGAAAGGAAAAACGGAAAAGGGAAAAAGAATGAAGAGATGAACATGAAAATAAGATTGATTACGAGATCAACGACTAGATGAGTCCGAGCTCGGGATGAAATACGGTACGTCGACTCTCCAATCGAGTCGCTTGTTTATGAAGGGCGCCTGCCCTCATAGGTTGACATTGCCCAGGTCACTTGATCAAGATGGCCGGCACGAATCGAATACCCCTCCGATCGGCACGGAACAACCTTTCTTCCAAGCCTTTACTTAGACTTAGAGCATTTTCCACCCCACTAGTATCGAGAAGAGTAAGAGTCACGGCATCGATTTAATTTTCCTTGTCGTACCAGTGTCGGTTCATCTTTGCCTCAAACCTCATCTACACCTGTGGAAAACACAACAACTTTTGCATTCACTCATCATAGACTCCTCTTCTTCTTCCACTGTCTTTGCTTCATCGATCCCCAACTTCTCGCCTCAGCAAATGATCAACGACCACACAGGCAGAATGACCACCGAACTCCCCACCACCAGCACCAACGGCGATACCTCGAAGAGAGGAGAGGGCAACTTCACCGTCAAGACGGGCCTGGCGCGCATGTTGAAGGGAGGTGTGATTATGGATGTTGTCAACGCTGAGCAAGTGAGTCTTTCTGGGGACTTCAAGGTGGCGAGCAAGCGCAATTGGCTGACCACGCCGCCAGGCGAGAATAGCAGAGGAGGCCGGCGCAGTAGCAGTCATGGCTTTGGAGCGGGTGCCAGCAGATATCAGAGCCCAGGGAGGCGTGGCACGCATGTCGGACCCGAAGATGATCAGGGAGATCATGGCGACTGTCACCATCCCAGTGATGGCCAAGGCGAGAATCGGTCACTTTGTAGAGTGCCAGGTACGCTTCCTCTCCCCCTTTGCCCCGTTTGGATCTCGAGGCTAATGCCGCCCCGGCAGATCCTCGAAGCCATCGGCGTAGACTACATCGACGAGTCTGAAGTCCTGACCCCCGCCGACCACGCCCACCACGTCGAGAAGCACCCCTACAGCGTCCCCTTCGTCTGCGGCTGCCGCAACTTGGGCGAGGCCCTGCGCCGCATCTCCGAGGGCGCCGCAATGATCCGCACAAAGGGCGAAGCTGGGACCGGCGACGTCATTGAGGCGGTCCGACACATGCGCACCGTCTCTGCTGAAATTGCACGTGCAGGCACCATGTCGGATGCGGAGCTGCGGATACTAGCAAAGGAGATCCAGGCGCCGTTTGAGTTATTGCGGGAGACTGCTAAGCTGGGCAGATTACCGGTTGTGAACTTTGCGGCGGGAGGAATCGCTACGCCTGCCGATGCGGCCCTGATGATGCAGTTGGGCTGTGATGGTGTGTTCGTCGGAAGTGGAATTTTCAAGTCGGGAGACGCGGCCAAGAGAGCGAAGGCTATTGTGCAGGCTGTCACGCATTACAACAATCCGAAGGTGTTGGCGGAGGTCAGTGAGGATTTGGGAGAGGCGATGGTTGGTTTGAACTGTGGGACGATGGACCCGAAGGACAAGATGCAAGGTAGAGGATGGTAAAGAGCGGCATACTGTACTGGATGGGAGGCACGGATTGGGAAAAAGATAAAAAGGTTGTAATACTGATGCGTTTCGGCAAGGTTTAACAAGGAATGGGTAGACATCTCAACTCGAGCTATTATGCAAGGTACAACTGGTTGTCGTTTCTGTCCGAGGTGATCCTATCAGCTCCGAGACAGCTGGTCTCGCTTCACGCGCGAGACACGTCCTCAGCCCCCGGATGGTCTTCGCCCCACAGAAGCTAAACCAATAGAACTACAGACATGGTAGCAGTCGCGTCTTCTTTTTGGCAGTGAGTATTTTCCCCACGCGTCAATACCGGCAAGCCGATCGATCGGATCGGTAGTGAAAACTGGACGAAACGGTAAAACAGTCAAGTAAATAGTAGGTGGTGGTAGACTCTCACTATCAAATCAAAGCCTTCTTCCCGGGAGGAGGAGGTGGGGTGGGGAGGGATCTCGATACTGTTACTGGCCCGGACCACGGAATCGAGATTGGAGCAAGAGGCAGACGCAGAAGCAGAAGCAGAAGCAGAAGCAGAGAGAGGCTGAAGGGAAGTAAGGTGTAAAACGGAGAGGAGGTTTCTCGGGGCCGTCGATCTGGCGGGGATACTGTATGTATGTATTTCAGGTATAGTTGTAGATAAGGTGGAAGTAGAAGTATGGAGATGTGTAAGTAAGTACCGGTAAGCAATCGCGTCCGTTGCGCGCGTCGGGTTTGTTTGGGGAATTCGGGCCGGAAGATGCGTAGGCGAGGGAAGCGTATAGTACCGGTACTTGAGGACGGATACGGTACTGAGAGAAGGTGGGGGGTGAGGGGGGGGAGGGGAGGAGGGATGTTTCGCTCCGGTAAGTAGGTACCGGTGCACCATGTCTCTCTCTCCTTTGTTTGTGCGAGCCATGGGTGTGTGATATTGCCACATTGTAACTAGGTACGTAGCGTCTTCACGACCTGCTACTGTAGTGGCGCGTAAATATTTTCTTCTTCTTCGCGTTCTCCAAGGACCTGCCGGCCGAAGACAAGAAGACTCCTTCCTACGTCAAGCAGCCGTGGATGCCCTCCGTCCATGTAGTCACTAGGATGACACGAGGTCCGCAAGTGTCTCTGAAACCAAAGATTGGACAGCAGCCAGCTGCGACGTGCACATATCCCGTACATCAGAGTGCGAAAACCTCTCTCTTTCCGTATTTTGTATTTTTTCGGGCTTGGAATTCTCCGGCTCCGGCTACACTTCCTAGCCTACGGTGGAACTGGGAAAAGGGGAGTACTGCTCGTGCCCACATTCGTCACCCCCACGGTCCGGCCCCCCCTGTTGGGAATGCTGTCTCTCTCGCGATTGGGGCTGGTTACAGAACATCCCCTGCCATTGGTAACATGGTGCTCAGGTCGGAACCAGAAAACAGGGCCCGTCCGACGTTTCGGAGTCTGGACATCCATCGGTCGGCGACATGGGGCAGGTAGAGTAGAGTACGGGAAGGGAGAAGAAGTACCGAGCTGGGATGTGTGTTCAACTTCAGGTCTTCGGATAGCAGCACGAGATCATCAGCAGGAGACAGCTCCCGGGCGCGAGTACTTGGGTAGGGGTATCTATCTATCTTTCTATCTACGGTACCTATAGACCGGAAGCCAGCCACGCTCACTGGGCGACTTCCGAGAAGGGCTTCCTACTGTAGCTTTTCGTCTGGCAAGAGAGATTCAGAGGCCGGAAATCCCGCCCTGCTCAAGCCTGCCCGGAGCGTGGCAGGAATAATCCGGCGACTGGTCTTGGATACGTACTACTACAACCGTTGAACATACATCTACGTAATACTCATCCGGTCGCCTTTGGCGTTGTGCCGATATTTTTTGGGGGTTGGCGCGCCCGACGCGTCTCGCTTATTTAAAAACATCAACGGACGACAGGACCCACTGTGCCCTCTTCTTCCTGAGTCTACAAAAAGTATCACCAACATCCAGAATCATTCACTGCCT